ATGGTGCAGTGTATGATGCTGGCCTTCCATGTGGAGGACCCAGGTGTGTTCCCTGATCAAAGTGCTGCAAGCACAGCCACCACTTGACACCGGCTGAGCAGGCTCCAGGGAACTTCCAGACCAAGATGGACTGGGAAGAAAGGCCCAGTGATCTTCCCCAATGAAAACCTGACAGATCTGGAGGGCTGGCTCCTTCACCGGCAGCTAACAACAACGCGAATCCAACAAAACCAAACAAAACACAAGACACGTAAGAAATTCTATGGTGTCTCATTTCAGCTCATGTAGGCCTGGCAGGCTGGCTGGCCCAAACCAAAAACCAAACACACTGCCATCCAGTCAATGCCGAACTACGGGGCAGGGTAAAACTGCCCCTGTGAGTTCCCAAGACAGTAACTCTTTACAGGAGTAGAAAGCCCAGCCTTTCTCCTGTGGAGCACCTGTTGGTTTTGAATGGCTGACCTTGCTGATTCCAGTCTGATGCATAACTGCAACGTCACCACGGAGCCTACAGGCCAGACGGGAGAGGTTCCATCAGGGCGCAGCCATGGAAGAGCCACACTTTCTGCCTGTGCGGACTGCTTGGCGAGGGGCCATGTGATCAATGGGTGCTCAGGTGCAGGCCCTTGGCGAGGGGCCATGCCATCAGTGGGTGCTCAGGTGCAGGTGCTCGAAGGAAGGACACAACACAAACGGTTATGCCCCCAGGACCTTGTTAGCCTCCTCCAGCTCCCAGGTGCCTTTCACCCCTTCACCCCTTCACCCCGACCTTTCACCAGAGGAGAAGTGTGGCCACCCAGGCGTAATGGCCAGACCAGAGGCCATAGCTCTCACCCCGAAGGGGAAAGCTTGACTGGGGTTCAGGACATCCACAGAGTGAGTCAGAGGTGTGACCTTGGAGGCCCTGAACCGCAACGTGGGGAAATACCCTTTCCTTTTGACACGAGAAAACTCCAGCGATGAATGAATCATGGCCCCAAGAACCCGCTGGGGATGCGATGTGTCACAGGGGAGGGCAGTTGTATGGTTCCCGTGTGAAAGGAGAGGGTTTCATGGGTTGTGGTGGTCTCATCAATGCGTGATATGATCTAGCTGCAGGTGACAATGCTCAGAAATGCCACAGGAAACACCAACCAGCGAGCACGGGTTTTTAACCTTTTCATTTTTCTAAGTTTTAGTGGATTTGGGCAAATTTGGAGTCTTGATGGTAAAAGGTAGAAGTCTAATTTGGGCAAACAGCTTGTCTAGGAGCACACGGCCGCAACTAGAACGTGAGGTCCCTCCTTTCTTCAACACCACACTGCCTCGATGGGAAAGGCCCGAACAAGGGAAAGGAACAGACACTCACTTCTATTGGATGATGGGGGAGAGGGGAAGTAAGAACCACAGGCAATACTTGCTTGGCCAGTGCTAGGGTCTTTGTGACATCGCCTTGGCAAAGAGCTCTGGGAGAGAGTCTATTAGGAACAGCTCCTCTCGGATCCCACACTTAGGAGTAAGTGGGCTGACAAGACTGGTAGTCTTCCTATCCAACCTTAAGGCTGCTGTGTCAGGCCTGTTCTTAAGAACTTAAGGGACATCTTATCATGTACTGGTGGCATGTTGTCAGGAGAGACCAGACCCTGGAGAAGGACAGCGTGTTTATAAAGTAGAAGGGCAGCGAGAGAGAGGAAGACTCTCAATGAGAGGGAATGATCCAGTGGCTGAAACAATGGGTGCAAACTAACCATCGTGAAGACAACAGGGATAGGTGATGTTTCATTCTGTTACGCGTAACATTGCTAGGAGTCGGATAAGACTTGACAGCATCTAAGAACAACAACAAGAGCTTCAAGAAGCTTACTGGCTCCATTAAACAGATCCAAGAGGGCTACTTTGCCAGTAATCAGTGAGACTTCCACGAACGGGTCATTCCCCTCTCTGAATCTGGATCCAAAGGCACTCAATGGCCTCTCCCAGGGAATTCCATGTACCATGCTCTTCCCTTGGTTCTGTGGACAGGACTTGGCATGGCACACTCTTCTGTCTGCTGGTTCTGCACAGTCTCCACGGGAGTAGGCTGATTCAGAGAAAATGTGTGTTAGCTACCCCCAAAATAGCAGCGGGCATGATCAATCTGCCAACATCAACGTGAGAAGTGACATGTAAGTATAATAAATGTAAAAGCACAGGATTTAATTTAGTCTAAACGGTGACGAGTTGTGCTGCCACCTCCAAGGTCAGCAGTTTGAAACCACCAGAAGCTCCCCGGGAGAAAGATGAGGCTTTCCTCTCCTGCAGAGAGCTGCAGTCTCAAAACCCACAGGGGCAATTAGACCCTGTCCTCTAGGGTTGAGTCGGCAGGAGAGTTTGAGGTGGAATTTTTGAAAACACAAAAAGGTAGTTTTGTAGTAGTTAGAGAACAAGGCAAGTAGCATTTGCTTTGGACTCCTTCATAAATTGATGACTGAAAAGGGCAAGCCACAGCATAATTTGCTGTCCACAGGTCTACAAAAGACTCATGGACCCGTGTTTACGAAACCCTGCGTGTAGTTAAAATTTATTTCTAATCCCCTAAATGGACACTCCAAGTGCTTTTGCAGTCATGCCTGGAAATGGAACAAGGGACAAAAACTCGAGCTGCGCAACACACAAGGCTGGTTTGACATTCTCTCAACTGGAGTTGGCGAGAATTTTATAGCGCATGATGAACAGAATGAAAAGGGACTCTATGCACAGTCCCTATCAATCCTATAATGAGCCCTGGTGGCGTAGTGGGATATGAGTTGTGTTGCTAACCTCAAGGTTAGCAGTTTGAGACTAGTAGGTGCTGTGAGGGAGAAAGATGTTGAAATCAACAGGGTGGCAGTGAGTCTGTCTGTTTGAGCTATACTATATGGGAATAAATGTGTGTGTGTGTGTGTGTGTGTGTGTGCCCCACACGCGCGCATGAACGCGTTACAAAGCTCTACAAGGAGGTGTACCAAAGTGATTATGAATGTTACCCAAGATAATAAAGGAGCAGGGGTTTGGGGTGGAGATCAAAAGAGACTTCAGTCTACTTGCAAATTACATTTTTCAAGGCGAACCAATTCATTTAATATTTATGTCAAAATAATTGCTTGTTTAAGGGAAACAAACATCAGATTTTATACATTTGCCAATTTATTCAATTATTTGAATACTTAATATGTGACAGGCACAAAATAAGGTTAAAAAAATATCGTTCCCCACATGCCCTGCTTAGGTTCAGCGGTGGGTGGGTTACAGGTTGTCTTATAAAAGGAAGAGAGGGAAAAAAAGTTAAAATAGTCCATTTAATGGTTCATGGGAGATCCCGGGGCTGAAACAAGAGTCTCCAGGGACTCAGTCAAGGTCCACCACCCTGGGAAAAAATGAAAGTGGCCGTCCCAGCTGCTTACCAATCTTGTTTAAAGGAGTGTCAGTGATCTTGGACTTCAGATAGGGTTCTCAAAGGAACAAAGTTGCAGAAAGAAAAGCTTCTCACTTCATACAGAAAACCAGAGTCCCCTCAGACAGAGACAGTGGGCTCTGTTCACTTCCAGGGGTACTGCCTCGGCCTGTTACCATCGGCGCATACGGTTGACTCTGCTAGACTAGACATGGCCTCAGCCAAAATTGCTGTTTTGATTTGGATTGCTAAAAATAACTCCTGAGAAGCCTGCCGTGTTAAAGGGAGCTGGTCGCACACAGCTCCGGGGAGCCAAGTAGAAAGCGTTTGATTTGAATTACCTAAGAGCTGAAATTGAGTGCGACTATCTCCCAGTAGCAACTACTATATAATTAGCCAGCCTAATGGAATCCTTTCAACACCACGACCGTTCAACGAGTGCGTTTAATTGAAAATAAAATTTTCAGACCAAATATGCTATCAAAGCGGCATTAGACGAAGAGATCTCAACAGAGACCAAGTCCTGGGAAGAAGATGCTGTGTTGTAGAGGAGGCGGTGGAGGTGGGGATGGGAACAGGTGCTCCGACATGGGAGGGTGGGGGGGACTTTATGTGCCTTCTTGTGGCCCCGGGGAAAGGATTAAACTCGCTCTGGGTCACTGTCATTGGGGCCCAGCCCCTGTGCCCCATGTATCACAGCCTTCTAAAAAAGAGAAGCCAGGGTTAAAATCTGGGGCAGTCAGGGGTAGGGGACAAAATGGTACCTGTCCTAGAACCCATTCACTACCAACCAGAAGGCAGTTTCCATCCTGGGGGGAATGCA